GAAAGAGGCCAAGGAGGAATGGAGCCTCAGGGTTAGAGCATGCACCAGGAAAATCAAAAGTCAGCACCTATGTGCGCCACAAAGGAGGCACCATTTTGAGAAGCACCCTCCCCCCCGCTTGAGCGCACATGAGGACACACTGACTGAAGTGGAGTGGTGCACTGTCCAGCACAGTGCACTTCATCTCACAGTGAGTAAAACTGTGTGCAATTTTGTCTCAGTGCCAGAGGCGGAACCAACACTAAAAAGAAGGACTGTCCAGTTTGTAACCCAACAAACAGCCTGTCTAATCAGAAAGAGGCAGGGGAGGCTGTCGGAAATACAGACTAGGAAACACTTGTGCAGCTTGATGTCAGAAACAAGATACTGATTTACTGCTCTATTGTGCGTTATACCTTTCTCACAGTAGGGCTCTCCATCCTCCATGTGGAAGAGGCTATTCCCAAACGGCTTCCTACAGGCAGCGCAGACAAAGCAAGTTGTATGCCAAGTCTGTCTTAACGCATGCATCACTTCCTGAAAAACAAAAACAGCAAAACACATATACACTAAACCCACTGTCAAGAAAACAAATACAACACTGGGATACCCTGGGCTTCTTGTTTTAAAATCAGCCAATTTTGTCCACATTATAACTGAGACCAAGGGATTTTTAAAATGAGGAAATACAAACCTGAGTAGCAATATTTACTCTGATGGGAATGCCCTGCCTCCTCTCAGAGCACTGCAAACCTCCTAACATGATTTATTGTCAAAACAAAGCGACCAAACAGCTAACAAAACCCAGCTCTGTTCAGCTAGTTGACTGCATCAACACAACCCATGGCTCTCTCCTCACTGGGAGACTCTGCACCAAAGAAAGTTATAATCTCTCTCTCACCTCTCCATTTCTATTTTGTGTATGTGCACAAGTGGGGCACTTGACAGAGAAACAGGGGATTTAGCTTTATTATCTTCAGTGGCGCTACACTGATTTACACCAGCTGAGGATCTGGCCAAAAATAGTTACCCAACAGACTGTGTGATCTGTGACTTATTTAATGCTGTTATTCTCAACCACGGGGATATGTACCACTGGTGGTACACGGAAATCTTCTAGAGGGTACATCAGCTCATCTAGTTTTACAACAGGTTACATAAAAAGCACTGAGATCTTCTAGTTTTACAACAGGTTACATAAAAAGCACTGACAGTCAGTACAAGCTAAAATGTAATACATACACGGACTTGTTTATACTGTTCTATATATTATATACTGAAATGTAAGCACAATATTTATATTTCAATTGATTTATTTCATAATTATATGGTAAAAATGAGGAAGTTAGCAATTTTTCAGTACCACCATGCTGTGCCACGTTTGTATTTTTATGTCTGATTTTGTAAGCAAGTAGTTTTAAAGTGAGGTGAAATTAGGGGGTAGAAAGACTCCTTAAAGGGGAACACAGTCTGGAAAGGGTGAGAGCCACTGATTTCATGTATCTTATTTTCTGTTTTGTGGGGCATGCTTTTAAGTAGGTTTTTTATGGTTTCCTCATTTTTTAATCTCTACTGTGTGAGGCAGAAGGGAATGAAAATAGTTGTCAGCATTTCAGTCCATTGCTCCAACTTGCTACTCAGACCCATATAAATGTGATTCACCATTCATCACATTACAGAATCACAAGTGAGATTTATTAACTTCTGTTACTATTTGCAAAATAATTATATCTAACAAAGAGGCGTGGATCCATTATGAACCTCTAAGTGCTAAACAGTAAAAGACAGATTGAGAAATCTCACAAATGCAAACAGATGCAGCTGGCAGCTTCGCTATGTTATTGATAGAAATCCACAGAGACTCTAAGAGTACGTTTAGACTACACCTCTCTGTTGACAGAAAGATGTAGATTAGGCACGTCGAAATTGCTAACGAAGAGGGGATTTAATTAAATAATTAATTAGCATAAACATGGCCGCCCCTTTTTTTTTAAACAGAGCTTTTTTGGAAAAAAAGCAGCAGTCTAGATGCAGATCTTTTGAAAAATAAACCCTTTTTCAAAAGAAACTGTATTTCTCAAAAAATGAGGTTTACAGGATCTTTCAAAAAAGGGTTTATTTTTCGAAAGATCCGTGTCTAGACTGCTGCTTTTTTTCGAAAAAGCTCCTTTTTGGAAAAAAGCGGTGGCCATGTTTATGCTAATGAAGCACGGGATATTTAACTCCCCCCTTCATTAGCAATTTCTACGTGCCTAATTTACATCTCTCTGTCGACAGAAAGGTGTAGTCTAGACACAGCGTAAGTTAAGTATTTCAGTGGCTTTGCTGTTTTAACACTGCCCCTAATGCTCCAGTATGTAGGGCTTCACTGGAACAGGACTTCATCTTACCTGTCTGATGATGTACTTCCTAGCAGGGAGCAAAGTACTGACTTCCCCGATACAGACCGATGTCAGCAGTGGAGGCAGAGTAGTGAAAACGAAGAGTATATTCTTCATTGGCAGATATGGAAGAATTGTGATGGATACTTGGTCACATAGAATCATAGAACACTAGTGGCTATGTTTATGTTGGTCACATAGAATCATAGAACACTAGAACTGGAAGGGACCTCGAGAGATCAACGAGTCCAGTCCCGTGTCCTCACGGCAGGACCAAGCACTATCTAGACCATCCCTAACAAGTGTCTGTCTAACCTGCTCTTAAAACATCTTTGGCATCTCTGTATGTCTCATTTTCCTTCTCATTTGTGTATACAAATCCATTGATAAGATTATCTTCATCTGCTGCTGCTCCAACCACCCAATCAGCTTGTAAAGGAATTTATAAAGTTTCAGTTATTACAGTATCTAAGCATGAAACTTAATGGCTGCGTCTAGACTGGCAAGTTTTTCCGCAAAAGCAAGTGCTTTTGCATATAAACTTGCCAGCTGTCTACACTGGTCGCTTGATTTTGCGCAAAAGCACTGACGTTCTACTGTCCGAAATCAGTGCTTCTTGAGCAAATGCTTTGATGTTCCCGTTCGGGCAAAAGCCCTTTTCCGGAAATGTTTTTGCGCAAGAGGGCCAGTGTAAACAGCTAAAAACTGTTTTGCGCAGAAAAGCCCCGATGGCGAAAATGGCGATCGGGGCTTTCTTGCGCAAAACCACGTCTAAATTGGCACGGACGCTTTTCCGCAAAAAGTGCTTTTGCGGAAAAGCGTCCGTGCCAATCTAGATGCTCTTTTCCGCAAATGCTTTTAATGGAAAAACTTTTCCGTTAAAAGCATTTGTGGAAAATCATGCCAGTCTAGACGTAGCCAGTAGGTGTGTAGAAGACAAGCAAAATCCTGCTCTACTGCTCTGAAAAATCTAATTATCGTGATTTCTCTAGAGCAGTCTTGCCCTTCATGCATGAATAGCTGAATGGGCCCGATCAAAGTCCAGACTTTGTAGATTGAGACCTGTATGAAGCATGACTGCATAGCATCATCTCACGTTTTGCCTAACTTTAGCAAGAGGTGCCCAAGGCAATACATTTTCATTTTCAGAGGTCACTAAAGCAAGAGTAGGAAGAAGTGAAAAATAAACTCAATGACGTTTTAAAAGAGTTATTCATATTACAAACTTCCTCTACAGACTGGTAAGTGCAGTACGGTCATGTCCAAACCTCCAGCCAGTATAGTACTTTCCTATAATCAAAAGTATTGAATTTCTAATTTCAATGGAGTGAGGACTTAGCTGTGAGGCTCTGTGGTTCTTCTGACTTACCCCCATGATCTTGGTCTGGCATCTGGCACAAGTTGGTGCAAAGAACTGCTCGTAGCAGCGCTCACAGTACACACTGTTTTGCTCTTCCACAAAGCACACGTCTGCTAAAGAGGTCTTGCAGTAAGCACAGTTGAACTCCTCTGGATGCCAGGAACGACCCATGGCTACCAGGAAAGGCCCCCTGTGAAACATCATTATGATATTAATATTGCAGAAGCATCCAATGGCACTGATTGGGGGCCCAGGGTGCTAAGCACAGAATGAACACCTAACAAATATTCCAGAGGAACAATAGTAAGGAAGAGATTTTTAAAATAAGACCCTACAACCTGCTGACAACCAGTCTCCTTTCAAGGTTTTTCAAAGGAAAATTTCAGGAATTAGTTCTAATCACTTTTGATGGTTTAACATATTAACTGAATTTTCAGAACCGTTGTTGAAGTCCTGCCATGGCTTCCAAACCACCACAACTGTAAATGGTGTCTGGGAGAACTCTCATGTTGCTGCTACTTCCTATCAGCAGCTGTAAACCGCTTGTGTAAATTCGGGCACTGAAAACGCTTTCTTTGAAACCCCTGACAAATCACCAAAAGTTCAGAAATGTTAAATATAAATCAAGGCAACCAAGTGGAAGGCTTTCCTCATTCTAATGCAGGGTGGGCAAGCAGTGGCTATTGGCTGGATCTGGCCTGATAGGCACCCAGATCTGACCCAGGGCCGCCTTGGCAGCACCCTTACTACAGAGCAGCTGCAACCATTTTAAACAGCAGGCTGCTAATTGCTTTGCAGTCTGGGCAGGGAGGGGAAAGCTTCATGCGCTGTCCCCACCCCAAGCAAAATCCCTCAGCTTCCATTGGCCAGTTTCCAGCCAACAGGAGCTGACAAATTTTGCTGAAGGCAGGGGCAGCAAATGACACCTCCTCTTGCCCTCCCTTTCTCTCTCCCTGTGCTGGAGCAGAGCCACATGGAGCAGCCACACAGCACGCAGACAGGGAGTTTGTCTCAGGTTCCTGCAGAGCTGCTCGCTGGGAGCCACCAAGGTAAGTGCCTCCAAGCCAGATCCTGCCTCTGGCACCCCACCCCTTCTTTCTCCTCAACTGCCTGGCTCAGGCCATGATTCAAACCCTCTGTACCCCCTCTCCCTACCTCCTCCAGGTTACAACTCCCTCTCAGACCCTGCACTCCTTCCTACATCCCTCCCCCTAGGCCAGAGTCCTTTCCTGTACACATACCCCTCCCTGGCCCTGCACCCCTCTCCTGCACCCATAACCCCTCCTGGACCCTGGACCCTATGCTCCAGATCATAATCCCCTCCTTCACCCAAACTCCCTCTCAGACCCCACATTCCCCCCTGTACCCTAGTTCTCTATCCCAAGCTCCCTTTACCCTACCCGCTGTCCTAGACCCTGCGCCCCCTCCACAGAATTGCAGCCCTTGACCACTTACCAAAATCTTGGAATGGCCCCCTCATTAAAAATTATTGCCCACCCCTGTTCTAATGAGTATGATACAGAGTAGAGAACTACCACCTGAAAACATAAAAAGCAGGGGACTTTCCAAAGTTGCTGAAAAGTGTAATACACATATACTTTGCAATAGCTTTGAAAGTCTCATGTTTTCTTGCATATTTGAATTACATCCTTACATTGTATCACATTATCAAAATGGCAATTCTGTTTTCATGTGGCTGCAGTATAAAGAATAAGTATGTTAGGGTATGTCTACACTACCCCGCTAGTTCGAACTAGCGGGGGTAATGTAGTCATCCGCACTTGCAAATGAAGCCCGGGATTTGAATTTCCCGGGCTTCATTTGCATGAAGCCGGCCGGCGCCATTTTTAAATGCCAGCTAGTTTGGACTCCGTGCCGCGCGGCTACACGTGGCTCGGACTAGCTAGTTCGGATTAGAAGCCTAATAGTGATTTACTATTAATTCATTAGATGTAGTGATTGTAATTAGAATACTGTGTGTGTTACTGGAGTATTCCTGTGTGGGAAGAAAGGAGAGTGATAATCAGTAGCCTCACACCACTGAACCAATTCCTTTTCAGTGGATGAAACTGTCATTAAAAAACATGGATTACTTGAAATCAGGGAGCAATCGTCATGCCAACAATGAGCACCAGTCCAACAGAATGCCTTGGGAAAGAAGAAAAGCATGCAGTGAATCACTGGTAACCTAGCACGTGCATTATCTTTCTCCAGATACAAAAGCAGCAATTACATTTGTCTCCAAACTGATATCTCATTTCCTCAATCCAATATAGTTTTACAGAGTGTCCTTCCAGTTTTATTTCCTGAGATACCTCAGGGAGCAGAAATTTGTAAGAAAAAGGCAGTACTTGTAGTGGAAAAGGTGCCTCAAACAATGACCTTGTATAACTTTGTAGTGATAAAAAGTGAACCACACAGTAGCAAAGATGAGCTCTGGAAATGTTAAATGAATCAAGCAGACAACAGACATCCCCTCTGGGTTATTTAACTGTCTCTCATGTTCTGAGATTGTATAACAAAAATGCAATAATCAGCTGGTCTGTGATACTTTCTCTCCTGCCCTCATCCCTCTCCTCAGAGTTCCATGACCTTACCTAATTATGCTGTTACAGTGTCCACAGAGAGGAGTTCGGTTGCTGGCTGGGAAACGCTCAGCCCTTTGAATTGTTCCCCGGGCTACAGTAGGAGCCTGGGAAGAAGCTGGTATTGAAGGAGAGGAGTAAGTGGAAGTTGAGGCAGGAGATGGTGCTGGTGCACCCCGTGGCAGGATATGTTTGGTAACGGAGGTGGTGGTTTTTCCAGGTGCAAATTTCTGGGAAAAGGAGTCATCTATTACCCAGGGAGGACGGCATGAAGGATCAGCATGACCTGATGTATAAGAATGTGCTGGTGCTGGTGCTGGTGCTGCTGTAACATCCAAAAGAAAATCAAAGAACGCTTGAAGGTCTTTTTGTTTTAGAGTGCAAACAACAACAATTTAGCAAAATGTACTCCATACCATAAACAAACAGAAGACTTGGATAACAAATGGTTGTGTGTTCCATTAGCATAGATCAGAGTGGATTGAGACACAGGCTAGCACCAAAATCCTGGACTTGTATCCAAATAAATCTTAGAAACGATAATCAACTGGTTTTCCCTGCCTTTATTGTGCTCGATAATCTACTGGTTTTCCCTGCCTTTATTGTGCTCACTTATAAGGACATTGTTAATTTTTACTGCAAATGGTTGTGATCACTGCTTTCTGTCCTCTAGTAAATCAGAATACAGTGGCAAGCTAGAGTCACAGGGCCAAATCAAACCAGAACTCCCCATGATTTTAATAGATTCTGCTTAAGTATTGGTGTCATGAACTTGCCTAAGATGTGGATTTTTCCACAGACACCTACTCTTGTCTATCATTTGTATAAGTTTTACACCTTCGTTAATGAAGACATTAGTCTCACCTGTGGAACACAGAAACTAAAAGAGAATAATAAAAATAATGCTGGGAGAACAAATACAGATTGTTTAATTTATAAAAAGAGAAGCCAAATGCAGGTTAAGATGAACAAGTGGAACTTTACTAAACCTTGTGTGCTGCTTTGTCCATGTGGCTTAGTTGCTACTAGCCTAACTCCAACTGATCTCTGTTCACTTAGGCTACGTCTACACTGGCCCCTTTTCCGGACCAACTGATCTCTGTTCACTTAGGGTTTATCTACACAGCACCCTAAACTTGAAATAAGATATGCAAATCTGCACATCTTATTTTGATTGATTGTGTTTTGAAATTGTATTTTTTCTACATAGCGCCAAATTTCAAAAAAACGTGCTACAGGCAGTCCCCGGGTTACGTACAAGATAGGGACTGTAGGTTTGTTCTTAAGTTGAATCTGTATGTAAGTCGGAACTGGCGTCCAGATTCAGCCGCTGCTGAAACTG